GTGGGCTGGACTGAAGTCAGTCCAGCCCACGCGTGTTTTATTTTTTTTAATTCAGTGGGATTAAGCCCAAATACAGTCCCATGCCAACAAAATTAACACAAACGGATCAAATGGCTTCCTGACCCCCCTCTCTCTCTCTCTCGTCCTCAGTGTTCTTCAATTTCTCTCTCTAGTTCATCATTTTTTCAGGAATTAAAGAAATCTCTCCAAGTAAATGATTCAATTACACCAATCACAATTCTAGGCATGAAAAAAATAACAAACAAACAATTAAAACAAGAACGATAATGCAATCAACACGAGAAGATCAAACCAAGGAGCTGACCTGGAAAAACGCAGCTGAAGAACAGCAAACAAACCCAAAAAAGCTTAAAAAAAACCCAGGGTTAACGAACTCAAAAACGAAGATTTCAACACAATTTTTTTGACTCTTGACCCTCGGTTTGCTATTTTTCCATACCCACACAACGATAATCCTCCTCAAAATCGAATTGAAACCTCTTCAATTGACCTCTGGAGTGAAGAACACAAAGCCAGCAAACGAAGAACCAAGAACATGCTGCCTAGAATTTCGAAGAGGAAGACTCGAAATTGAAGAATTGAAACTCAAATTTCAAGAAATGAGATTAAGAAACCCATAAGGATGAAAAATTAGCCCAGAAAAACCAGAAACAAAAAAATTAAAAGGCTGACAATTCGAAGAACCAAAACCTAGAAATGATGAACACCAACCCAGAAACCAAAAAAAAAAAAAACCATAACTGCCCAGCCAAACAAACCTAAATTTCTTCGAATTTCAACTCTTTTTTGCTTTTGTTTTCACTCTCTCTCAACCCCAGATTTTTTTTCTAACCCTTGAAATCATTTTTCCTCTCCTATTTATAAGCTAAAATTCATCATCAATCAGTGAGGGGAGAGGGGCTGACCGTCGATTGCAGCATGAGCAGTCTGATTTGCTGTCAATTGTAGCATGAAATTGTTGCAAAAATCCCCGGTGATTCGAATTCAAATCTGCAGCCAAAACTCAAGGATTCTTGTTTGGAGTGTAACACAAACAACATTAAATGTTGTGTTCAGGAATAGATTTGCAGAAGAAAATTAACATGGATTGGTCCTGTTTTTGTTTCCAAATTTCACTTTGGTCCTTCTGCTTTTGATTATTTGTAATCGTTCTTTTTTCGTGTGCAATTTTAGTCCTTGTGAATTGAATTTTATCAATTGGATCTTTTTTTATGCAATTCTAGTCTATGTAAATCCAATTGTATCAATTGGGTCTCCAATTACTTCAATTACCTTTACATTTAGTTCAATTGCACCCTTTGCCGTAATATCCCCTAATTTTTTTGTATTTTAATTATTTTTCCATTTTTTTTTGTATTTTTATAGTAAATTAAAAAAAGTAAAAGAAAATAAAAGAAAAGAACAAGTAAAATAACCAAAAAAAATGTGAAATTTTTGGATTATGACAATTGTCCTCTCTTTACAATGTTTATGGCACAAAGCCAAATGGAAAATATGTTTTTTAAATGACTTTGTATAATAAGCTTGTAAAGATTTTTTTAAAATTGGTTTTGTTGTTCTAGGCAACCTTTTCTTAAAAAATAAAAAAAACGTGATAAGATGACCTTATTATGCGGGGTGGTGGGCCTTGAAAATTAGATATGTTATGCATGAAAAAGTAAATATGCAATACATGACCATGTTGTAAAAGCGGCCTACCTTGAAAAATTAAAGATGCATTGAAGGACTATGTTGTAAAGGCGATCGCTTTGGAAATTAGATGTGCATTACTGAAAAATTAAAGATGCATTGCAGGACCATGTTGTAAAGGCAGTCGTCCTGAAAAATTAAATGTGCATTACTGAGAAATTAAAGATGCATTATAGAACCAATGTTGCGGTCACTTTGACAAAATAAACATGTATTGCAGGACCCTGTTGTGGTCACTTGAAAAAATAAACATGCATTGCAGGATCATGTTGCGGTCATCTTGAAAAAATATACATGCGTTGTGGAGCCATGTTGTAAAGGCGGCATGTCTTGAAAAAGTAAACATACAGTGCGGGGTCATGTTATAAAGACAGCTTGTCTTAAAAAACTAAACATGCAGTGTATGGCTAAGCAACTTTGCCTAAGCTAGTGAAGATCATCAGATTTCTTTTTTCATTTTTTTTTTGTATGTTTGTAATAAATTAAAAAAAAAAGTAAAACAAAATAAAAGCAATGAACAAGTAAAATAACAAAAAAAAAAAAAGTGAAATTTTTGGGTCATGACAATCATGATTGTTAAGGTTTTTAAATGAATGGTCATGGTCAAAATAAAAAAGAAGAATGGTAGAAAGGAAATTAGGAAGTCACAGGAGGGCGATACAAAACCAAAGGAAAGAGGGAAAAAAAAAAAACTAAAGACGGAAGCTTTAACAGTGGAACGTACAGTAGTGGATGCTACAGAGGAATGGCATGACTTTTAGTTTCCCTGGCAATGATGATTGTGTTTTGATTGGACAACTTAAGAAATTCTCATCCTATTGTTTAAGCCTCCAGTGTCTTGTAGGAAACAAATAGCTCACAAGGATGCATGGCCCCGATAAAGAGGACAATAAGGATGTGCTTTGGTTTGGGCCCCTTGTGTCTTCACGCTGAATATATTTCTAGCTAACGGAGAAAGTAAAGAACCATAAGTTCTTTGTTTTTTTTGGCAGATCGAAGGTGATAGCTTCAAGTGCGACTTATTTGCAAGCATATTTTGTCCGTGTCCCCCCTTTGGTGATGCGCTCTTGCTTGTTTTCATGTGATGATCAATCCTACAGAATCCCCTCGACAATGTATACGTGTCTTTCTTGCTTGCAATATTAGTCAAGTCGCTATTGACATGTATCGTTTTTCAAACTTCGTGAACTGAAATAATTCAACCGGTTCGTTTTTTCATTTTCTATGAAATATGTAGATTATAGAGTTTCGTGGAACATTTGCAAACAGATCGTTCATGAGTATTGCTAACAAATATATAATGCAATTTTATTCCTTATGTTGATCAAGACCTAGGACACCACTCCTTGAAAGCAAAATATGTAGATCAATTTATGAGGATTGCTAGGACAGACTTATTTAGAAATGTTTTAGTCACATACACTTCTCATTTCAAGCTCGGTATAGGCACTAGAGTGTTAGTGTTCCCCAGCTATATCATAATAATCGTGGCCTGTATAATGTATTTTAATATCTTAAATAACATGGAATTTTAGATATAAATAGAAATTAATTAATATTGATTGTAGAAATTTATTTTATTTAATATGTATCATGTTAGTATTTAATAAAATAATTATATTCTATGTTTGACTTCAAATATATCTTATGAATATGTTTGATTTTGATAAATAACAAAACATATAATTAATTAGAGAGAGTGTTAAATCAATTTATATTAAAAATTAATTTTAGTTAACAAGTCTATAAAAATATATTAAAAAAAGCCATTAACTATCGAGAAAAAAATTATTTTGAGCACATAAAAAGAGAGAGAAAGGAGATTGGGTTGGAGAGCGTGCCAGGCCCGTGTGAAATGTGCTAGAGAAAATCAGGCCAGCACGCTCGAGTAGGAAGCGTAGATCAGCTATCTGTGTGTGTGTATATATATATATAAACAGAAGCGGACAACGCGTCGTCTGCAAAGACTGACACGTCACCTATCAGGTCATCAGTAATGCCGACGCTGCAACTCTATTGCTTAGTTTGCTAAATAGTCGTCGAGAAAAAAAAAAAACCGTTGCTTTTAGCCTCCCACATCCAATCTTTTCAACCCATTTTGAATCTCAAAACACGTCCTAATGTATCCTACAAACCCAAACCAAATCCTCCTAGTTTCCTGCCTTCTCTCTCCTCAATCAATATTTAAAGACCTTCTCGTAACTCAAATGAAATCTAAGGACCGTTTCTTATAAAATTAGAACTCTAAAGATTAAAATGTAGAAGGAGTACATAAAATTTTCGAAAATTTAGTACTTAAATTTTCTTGTGAAACGATATTGACTTAGCAGGACTTAGCTATAGTCAAACACCATTTCACTTTTTTTTTTTAAAATAATTTTTTTGCAAAAACCTTGAAAAGGGAAACTGTTGGTTAATGATGTTTAAAGGAGTGGTGTTAATTTTATCGAAGCATTCTTCTTAAATTTAGTTTTTGAAAAATTTCATCCATTGTATGAATGGATGTCGTTAGTGTTTCTCCTTTCAGTAGATAATATTTCTCTGGATGTGGGTTTAGGAAGAATTTTTCAGTAAAACAAAATTTCTCCGGATGAAGATGAAAATGCGATAAGCCGGCTACTGTTAATTAATCCTCCATAAAGCGCACCAAAAGGGTTTCGAACTAGGAATGCCCATCCCCTTCTTCCCTTATCCTTGTTACTGCATTGATTGAGTAGATAAAATTCAATACCGATGCCCAATCACTCCCACAGAGGAATAAAATGGAAAGGTTGCAATGCAAAAAGAGCATAAAATGGTAGCATAAAACAACAGAAGCAGGACAAGGCCCCCTGGGGGCCCTATGATGCTACATATGCAAGTATTTTAATGTCCCGGGCCACTCATATTACTGGGAAGATTCGTTTTTAATTTCTATCTTCGCACGATGACGAGAATATATATATATATATAACAGATAAATCTGTATTGTAATTTATAAGAAATTATTAATTATTTATCAAACTTTTCACAGCTGAGCAACAACGAAAATTGCCATCCCTGAACGGACAAATGAATATATAAGCAAACAAAGGGGTAGAAGACAGAAATGGGACAGATGACAACTTCTGGTTGATCTCTTGCCCTGCATTTCTAGAAGCTCTACACTTCCCTACTACTTCCATTCTTGTTTTTTTCTACGTAGAACAATCATTTATCTGAAAGTAAAAGTAGAGGAGGATCAGAACAGTTCTAGATTTGAACCAACAGACACTAGAATTAAGGAAATAATTAAAGATGGCATAAACATATTACATACGCATTGATCTTTTGCAATGAAGAACTGCCTCATGAATTGAGCTCTCGCTATCATAGCAACCATCAAGTGAATAAGCTGTTCTTCTTCTTGGAGATGCTTCCCGTGAATTGCTCTGGCTCTTAACTCCCCATGCTATCCTCTCAACATTATCAACTCTTGTGATTATTCTCGAGCCTCTTAATCTGTGGGAAAAAGGTCTAACATATCCAAAACAGTTCGGCAAGATTCGCCTCCATCTTCCAAGGAAACGACAAAGAATCTGAACAGCTGAAACAGTTCCTGAAGAAAAAGAAGAAGGCACGGTAGGAGCTAAATTCAGGGAACTGGAGGCCTCTATCTTTGATTGGTTGATAAAAATTGGTCTGATGAGGCCGTCAGAGAAAAGCTGGTCAGCATGAAGAAGAGCATCAGGGGATTGGGAAATGGGAAAATCGAAATTGAAGTTTTGGTCTTCTTCCAGCGATCTTCTTGACTCAGGCATCCTGTAATCTAATTCTTCGGAGATGGCTTCATGGGAACAGTCAAGAGATGCCCTGAGGGGAGTCTCAAGACCATGCAAGGAGGAATTGACACTGGTCAACCAACTGCGAGAGAAGCTTTCAATGGCCAGAGTTTCTGAGGGTTCCATGGGTTGTCAACAGCAACAGCTAACTTGAAATTAATTAGCACGACTTCTTATATATTAGTGGAGAGCCAAGATTCATGTGATTGGTACATTTAAAGTTAACCACAGATCATGATGACCATAAGTGCATAAATTTTCTATTCTATCAAGGTCAAGCAGGAGACAAATGGAACAAGAAAATTAGCAGCTAGATAGACGTCACTTTATTTGTTCTATTGATTTCCTTATCTAGTTTAAAAATCTTTTTTTTTTTTTTTTGGTCTATCATCATTTAATACTGATCCATGAAATCCTTTGACACTTTGGTTTTCAGTTTACTCCTAATGGTTATATATATATCAATAATTGCAATAACTACTTTGTCCCTAATTTATCAACATTAGCAATTGAACCTAAGATGTATTCCAAACCCAAAGGCCAAAGCCCAAGGGATTCTTCAAAAAATATTTACTTTATCTAATGCATGATGGAGGACGGTTATATTTTTTAAAAATGGGGCCCTTTAAATTGGGAAGAAAAGAGAGCAGAGGCCATACTTAAAAGTGTAATTTCCTTCCATCAATTCATATCACACAAGTAACTATAAACAAAATGAATGTATGCAAAAGCAAGATCATTTTAAGCAGTGGAATTAATCATTATCGTTCATAGATCCTTCTGAATTTACAAATCAATTTACTTCGGTACCATTTTCCAACTCTACAGATGCTGATTTCTAGTTACAATCCGAACCATATGCAACTAGCAGCGAATGCCAAACTCGACTAACTGTTGCTTCTAGGTTATTGTTCCACCCCTCCAAACTCTAGCTCCTATATATACACCTGTTGGGTTCTTGGCATATGTCTCGATTCGAGACAGCTTTATAATTAAAAAAAAAAAAATTAAAAGGATTGGTAGCATAGTGGTTGGTAAGGCATACTAACTTTTAGACTCAGTTTTTTATAAATTGAATTACTACTTTATATGTTATAATATTTATTTTAACAATATTCTTAGTGTTTTCTCTTATATAAAACTAAATTATAAGAATTACATATCAGTTTGCAAATCTTATCAATCAAGATAAGATGCAAGTTACAAGAATAGTTATTAATAACTAGAGTCACTCTAGGCTAAAATTCTGTACTTCCTAAGCTTTATTACAATCAAAGTATATGCTTATGATATTAATTCTGAAATTAAGAAATTAACAACTCCCAAAGCTTAAAAAGAAGACTTATTTTCATTTGCGAAAAAAATGAAACTCTTCTTTTAGACATCATTCACCATTCTCACCATGAAATTCAATGCATAATAAATGTTTAGAAGTTTAGAGACATAACTAATCTATTAGTGGTTGTTACTGTTTTACAAGTTGTGTCTAAATTTTTTTATGTATATTAAAATTTAGAAGAATGTTCTAAAAACTATTTAAGCTTTGCAAATTCAATCATTACTGTGTTAATTTATTACCATGTGTTTTTTCCTTTATTGTAGCTTATATTAGTGCTCATGTTGTCTGCCATCTTGTCTAACCATCCCCGCAAAATAAAAACACAGAAAGCGAGCATTACAAAAGAAATGATCTGCGCACTAATAATTCAAGGAGAAGAAATCAAATTGAGCGAGTTAAAAAAAAAGCCATTTAATTTGGAAAAAAAAATAAAAGAAGAAAGAAAATAGGATAGATTATTCTACAATCAAAGAGTGAGGAATCGCGAAAATTAAACAACAAGGTAAATAAAACAGCAAAATAAAATAGCAAAAAATGAAAATTGTTTTAGTCACAAAAGACATGCATGCTTGAGATTTGAGACTTCATTAACGGCCCCGTAAAGGACTTGAGCTCTGCTGAAATGAAACCACGCAGTATACTCATTTAAGGCAGAAGAAACACCAAAAACGGAAGATCTTTTCATGTTCGTGGTTTTAGCCCTCGCAAAATAGCATTTCGTTACTGCGTATCACATTGATTGTTCAAGCTTAATCATGCCTGACATGCTCTCCTCTCTCCTCTGTTCTTCGCAATTTATTAGCTTTGTTACTCTATTAATTTTGTTAGCTTGTTAGTTATATTCTTTTATATTCCTTTTATGCTCAAGTCTATTGTAACTCTCATAACAATCTTAGCAAGTTTTAGTCTTTTTCGTTTTTACCCTCAATTGTATGTATATAAAGACATGAAAAAGAGAGAATGAATTTAAATTTTTTCTACCTAAAAAAGTTTTCATTATGATATCGAGTAGATTTTGCTTCTTATTTTCTTTTTCATGTTTCACATTTACGAGTAGCCAAACACTACAAACATTTGAGCTACCACCATTGACGTTTCCTCTCGTTCTTTGTGCGTTCGTGATCTTCTTATATTCTTTATGGTAGCTTCCTCTACATCCAGTTCTAGACTAGAAGACCATCCTTCTAGTCCATATTACATCCATCCAAGTGAGAATTCATCTTTGGTTCTCGTTTCTTCGTTCTCACGGACTCAAATTACCATAGATGGTCCCATGCCATGCGAATGGTGTTACTCTCTAAAAACAAGCTCAAATTTATTGATGGAAGCGTTCCTATCCCATTAGCTACCGATCCTTGTTATTCTCATTGGGAACATTGTAATACCATGGTTTTATCATGGTTATTTCACTCTCTATCTCCTAATATCACATAAAGTGTCATGTGGATTGACACATCACTTGATCTCCGGTTAGATCTCAAGGAACGGTTCTCTCATGGTGATCATTTTTGCATTCGTTGAGCTTCGGGAGGATATTCACTCATTCAATCAAGGTACCCTCTCTGTTAGTGCCTATTATACTTGAATTGAAGACCCTTTAGGATGAGTTCACAAACTTGTGCCCCATACCTACTTGTGATTGTACTCCTAAATGTTATTGCACGGCTTTTAACAAGGTCAAAGAGTTTCAAAAGAGTGATCATGTTATACGGTTCTTAAGAGGCCTAAATGACAGTTTTGCTACCATTTGATCTCGGATCATGTTGATGGATCCTTTGCCATATATCAATCATGTTTTTGCTCTTGTTGTTCAACATGAAAGATAACTTAGAGTTTCTTCGACCTCTACTTGGTTCCAATCATACTTTAGCCTTGTTTTACGAGTAAAAGTGTTCCTCATTATGGTGCTTTAAAATCCGAGTAATCGCCTTTCGGATCACATGTCGGTTCTAATCCCGGTAGTTTCAACCACGGCTCTAATTCTAGTGGGTTCAACTCACGTTTTTAGGATAAGAAGCCTGCTTGTACCTACTTGTGGTGCAACAAGCCATGTGGTGGATTGATGCTACAAGAGGCATGGATTTTCGCCTGGTTTCAAACATAATAAACAAGGATTCTCAACTACTCGTTAATCGACTTACCTTTGCGCATACCGATTCTGCTTGTTCTAAGGTCGTTGTTCATACTGATTTTGCTTGTTCTAAGGATATTGCCTTGCCTAATTGTAGTAGATATGGTGACTTCTAACACAATCCATTCATCCTTACTCAAGATCGGTAAATGAGTTTAATGTCCCCTTTTCCTAATACATCTTCGATTGATTCTCGTACATCTTCCATTAACACTCGTCCATAGCAATACTTCTATTACACCAAATTTCACAGGTATTCATTTTTCTACTTGTAATTCTACTCATAATGTTGATGTCTCTGCTTGGATACTTGACACTCGGTGCCACGAGATCACATCATTTGCTTATTGCCTTATTTTTCTTCTTATTATCCAGTCACACATGCTACTTGTCAAATTGTCTAATAACTACCACTTTCAAGTCACTCACAAAGACACCGCCAGTTTGTCGATTTGCTTATCTTAACAAATTTTTTATTTTTTCTTACATTTTCCTTTAACTTGATATAAGTAAGCAAATTAACGAAATCATTAAATTGTTGTTTTTCATTTTCTTCTTCTTCCTATGTTATTTATGACCTACACTCTAGGAAGATGATTGGTTTAATCGAGGAGAGACATGACTTATACTTAATGACATAACCTTCTCTTTCATTTGTTCATTCTGTTACTACACCTAGCATCCATTCCACTCGTTTCTCATAATTCTAATGTTTTGTGGCATTGCAGATTAGGACACTTATCCAATTCTAGATTATAAATTTTTCATAGTTCTCATTCACTAATCCCTTGTATTGTAACTTTGCCACATTGTGCAATTTGTCATTATGCAAAGCAAAAGAGATTGCCCTTTCCCGATAGTCAATCTTTTTTAACTCATTGCTTTCAACTAGTTCATATGGATATTTGGGGTCCTATATCCGTTCCATCCATTTATGGTCATTTATGCTTCCCCACCATTGTGGACGATTTTAGCAGAGTCACCTGGATTTATATGATTAAGAGTAAATGCGAAACTAAAGGTTTTATAGAGGAGTTTTGTGTTCTTGTGGAAACTCAATTTAACATTAAAATCCAAACCATTATTTCTAATAATGGACAAGAATTCAACATGCCTTCCTTCTTTTTCTCTAAAGGCATTATCCATCAAAACTCTTGCACAAAAACACCTCAACAAAATAGTACTCGTCGAAAAGAAACATCAACATATTCTTAATGTAGCAAGAGGACTAAGGTTTCGAGCTCATTTGCAACTTTATTTTTGGCGGTATCGTATAATGTATGCGAGTTCATCTCATAAACAAAATTCCATCACCTCTCATTAATAATCAAACACCTTTTGAAGTTCTTTTCCATAAACTTGCCATCCTATGAGAATCTGAAATTTTTTGGTTGCTTATATTACTCTAATGTAATTGGCCATAAAACCAAGTTTGACCTAGAGCTGATCAATGCATTTTTCTTAGTTATAAATCCGGCACTAAGGGGTATCGGTTATATAATCTCAACACCAGCCAATTCTTCATTTCCAAAGATGTTATCTTCTATGAAGATATATTTCATTTTGCTCCAAACTTTGCATTCCCTTCTTTGTCTAATAAACCCGATGTTGCCCTTCCCATTCCTAACCCTCCTACTTTGGATGATGAGCCTTTGT